TCCTTCCTTCCTTTCTTTCTCTCTCTCTCTCTCTCTCTCTCTTCCTTCCTCCTTCCTTCCTCCCTCCCTCCCTCCCTCCCTCCCTCCCTCCCTCTACTATCTATTTACCTGTCATCTAATTTATATATTATAATCTAACTCTAGCTCTCCCACTGTTGTTTTACTTTTGGTCTAAATCAATTGTTTGCGGCCCCAGAACTGATGGTTGATGTATGATCTCTGTAAATCCACATATACTTCATACTTCAATAATAATTTATATCCTTCTTGACGCTCTCAAGCATTTTGTGATAAGTTGCTGTAGTAAAACAATAGCTTCATAAATTTGTCTGCCATGTGCTATTTCATTCAATTTAAAACAATCGGATTTATGTCTGATTTGATCAAGTGCTAAATTCCAAATTTTGTTGGCATGAGAGCTAGACTGGGCAGGATCAGAAGCAAAGGGCCGGAGACCAGACTGGAGCATTACAAGAACAATACAGAGGTGTCAACCACTCCGTCTATGAGTAATGAGTCATCCACTATGATGCCCAGACAGGAGAAAAAGGCCATATTTGAAATCTTGGATCTGCTCTCTGTGTGGCTTAAGTCTTAAAGTTTGCAGTTGTTGGTTTCCTCTGTATGAATGGCTTTTCTAGCATCTACCATAGGATGCCTAAAGCTCTTACCTAGAGCTGTGTCCCTGAATCTCTCCCTTTGACCCTTCTGGGTTCAGTACTGGTTTGGCTTAAGCCTAAGAGCTGGACTAAAAGGTCATTTGGACTGATTAATCTAAAATAACCAAGCAGAACCTGCTCTCTGGAGAGATGGAGGCCACTGAGAGGAGGGTTATGGACTTTCCAGAAAAAGAGAGTAATTGGTGCCTCCCACGCAGCTGATACCATACTTTAGTTGACCTGTGCTATACATCTGGCTTATACACCATTAAGTGTACAGTAATGTCATTTAAATGTCATTCCAAATGAAATATGGAGGCACTACTGTAAGTCTGTGTAGAAAAAGCTTCACGCACATAAGTTGACTTATATCCCCTAGGCCAGTGTTTCTCAACCTTGGCAGCTTGAAGATGTGTGGACTTCATCTCTCAGAATTCCCCAGCCAGCTTGAGAAACGCTGCCCTAGGCAATCCCCTAGGCAGAAAACTCTAAATTCTTTTTGTGAAACCTTCACCAAAGCAAGTCAAAAGTCAAGTTGCCTAACTCAGTTCTGAAGAGCCCCCCCCCCTCCACTTTTCCTGGTAATTGGGGAAGATGCCCTTTGTATTTCACAGGTTAAACTAAGCCTTCAAACACAGAAAGGTGAGCTACTATGCTGGGTGGCCATGATAGAAATCTGCCCTTTTTCAAAGAGATGTTCATCTAACAGGCTCTTAACATGAAGATCATGCAGAGTTAAGGTTTCTACTCTGTAGATTAAAAATGTATTTAGTATTAAATTTATACCTGTTTTTCTACTTGCATTAACATCAAGCCAATATACAACAATTTAAAAATACAAAACACAAACCCTAACAGTTCTATAATAAGTAGAACAATAACTTTTAGTTAATGAATCAGGCTAATTGGCTAAATCATCTAGATCAATTAGAACCTGCTCACACTTCATTGGCAGAAATGCAAATTCTTACAAAAAACAAACGCTCGGTTTACTATCTTCATACCAGCAAGCTGTCCGATCTGAAAATGGCAATACCTCTAGAAGCATGCAACCCTCTAGAAATATACAGTTGTGCAGAGGGAGGTATACTCATTTTTAAGTTTCAAAAGCTTCTTTGTTCTAGTGTGAGACACTCCTATAGTTGGGAATGAACGGTTACGATAATTCTGTTGATTTATGGTAATTAGATCTTTTCTTGGTTTGTAGGTTTTTATTGTATTTCATGTTTTTATCATGTAACCCGCTGTGGTTGTTTTCTGAGTCTGGAGGTATATAAACACAATCAATGACTGCATATGTGATACCGGGGGACATTTGAGGGGATGATGTCAAAAAGTCAAGATGACACAATCAAAGCCCTGTCCCTTTTTTACATGTGTCGAACACATAATGCACCTTGTTGGGGCTGATTCTTGACTTTTTCAACAATGACTGTGGATGCTCCTGGCGATATCTGTCTCTCCATACATTTATTCATCTGTCTCTCTCTCTTGCACACGTACATGTCTACACAAATTCAGAGTTGACGCCCTTTTCCCAAGGACCCTTTCAATTTGAAAACACACACACAAGATTATCAGCCCAGCTGTGAGTAAATCATTCATCTTGAACTTGGCCTTTTGTGAGCGAAGACCCTAAGATTGCGCCTATCTTTCAAAAGGATGCATAGAAAAGTGAAACAATGAACAGTTTGTGAGCAGCCCGGCTCCTGTAATTTAAGCAGAGCTAGTAACGAATGGAAGCTTGCAGAAATATGATGCTACTGTTGTAAATGGTTAGGGATCAGACTTAATTGGCTAGCCCCATTCTGAGCCAGTGATTCCCACAGGAAAAGCAATGAAGAGTGATTTATGGGAGAGTAACGAGAGACATTTAGAACAAAATTAGAGGAGGATTAATTTACTTACATGTTATGCAGGTGATTTAAGCAAAAACGTTAAGGCATTCCCTTGGGTGACCTCACCTGACCTCTTACCCCTGACTCACACTGTCCCAAACCAAAGGAGCACTTGAGAAAAAAAGAATTTCCCCCGTGAGGTTCAGCTGGTCAAGCATTTCCTTTGGCTTCTTTGGCTGAAAAGCAGTTTTCCACAAATTGTCTTTCTTAGGGTTAGATTAATAACCCTAAGATAAATAGGATTCTGTTTAAAAATCCTATTTAAAGGGATTTAAAGGGGCGCAGGATGTCACACTGCATTCCAGATACAGAATTCAGCCTCTGAAAAATGTCAAACCCTGTTTGAAAGAGACAAGCACCCACAGAGGAAAATATATGCTTCACTGTCTACAGAAATCTCACAAACAGTATGAACAAGATTCCTAGTAATTAGGAACTGGCTTCTGCAAAAATGTCCTTGGCCCTTCTCCTTTCAGAAGAAATTATGCAAGATGAATTGTGCGAATGCAACTCACTGCATTTCATACTGAAGCAAAATTTAACTTGTCTGGACAATAATTTAAAATAAATATAAATAACCTAGTAATTATGTTGGTCTGGAACTGTAATAAAATTTAATGACTACAATTTAGTAAAATACATATTTAATTAAAGATCTAATTGTTTTTCCATGTGTCAGCCTAAGGAATTTTCCTTTCTGTTCTAATACAAGCAGAACGTTCACCTGGTCACCTGTTGATCCCCTTAAGGAAAAAGGTGGGGTATAAATCAGGTAAATAAACAAATGGCACATTTATCTGTGACCAGCGAATAAGACAGGATCCATTTCAATGGAATTCAGGCCCAGAGTACATTAAGAGTCAAATCTGACCTTTGGCCTTCCTATTTTTTTAATTGCCTATTTTAACTCAACACGCAAAGGTTTCCCAAGCTCATTCATCCTTTTATCTTCTGGAGAGGAATCGTTGATTTATTTTATTTTATTCAAATTATCAGATATCAGCAACAGAGGGGATTAGGAGTATATCCACTTCCTCTGAAACCTGCAGCAATATGGCGTGTAACGCTACATGTGAATGAATAACTAAATCTTAATTATCAGTCAGGCTAGAACGCAGGTAGGATATTTTTTGTCCAATTTATATAGCCACCCGTCTCACCTACATGACTCTGGGTAGCTCACAAAGTTAAAACATAAAACACAATACAAAAAAATAACCAAAAGCATACAACCAAAAGCATTAAAACACATTAAAAACAATAAAAACGATTAAAACCATAAAAAAAAATCTGCGAGAGGGCAATGCAACTTACCAACAATATAGCCTAGTGTTTTTCAACCTTGACAACTTTAAGATGCGTGGACTTCAATTCCCAGAATTCCCCAGCCAAGCATGCTGGCTGGGGAATTCTGGGAATTGAAGTCCACACATCTTAAAGTTGTCAACACTGAGCAACATTGATATAGCCATTTAGCAGGCTCTACACCACCACTACTGGATACCCAAGTCTTCAGGTCCTTCCTAAACACCAGGAGGATGGGTGCCAATCTAAGTTCCGGGGCAATGATGTTCCAAAGGGTGGGCGCCATGGCAGGAAAGGCTCTCTTCCTGGGTCCCATCAGATGACATCCCTTAGTAGGACCCATAACATGCCTCTCCTGCCGGATTTGATGGGATGCGTAGATGTAACCTGGGAGAGCTGGTCCCGCAAATATCTTATTTGATCTCTATCAACTATGATACAGAAAGGACACTGAGTGAGCCACACTACCTATCAGAGTTTACATAAGCTTGAAGTTTGGTCAATTGTGTACATCGGAATGGATCAAATTTAGACCTAACATTTCATTTTCCTGCCTTGTTTTATTCCCCATTAATCTAACATTTCAGCAGCCAATGGTTTGTTATATTTTTCATTGACTTCACTAGGAGCAAGTGGCGTTTCTGGAAATTATCAGACCTTTCAAGATAGAGATGCTGTGAGAGGTGGCTGTTGGGCATGGCTGCCTCTATCTTGCACCTTAAGAGCAACCCTTTGGGTAGAATTGGAAGCATTTCTGCTGCTTACCGCTTCTCGGAGACACAGCTTCTTGAGTTCCTCTAGGCGCTGGCGCAGGGTCTCCTCGAGGGCTTCTTGCCTGGACTTTAAGGCAGCCAACATGTCTTTCTTGGCAGACTGAGAACTATCGGACTCTTGAGACCCTGTTGGTGAACAATGATGGCATTAGGGCAGCTGACATGCATCAGCAGCAGAGGGGCAGCCGGGGATGGCTGCTTGCAAAGAAGCTGGACAACCAAAATAAACAGGTATTGCTGCGTGTAGCTGCCTTGGTTCATCACCCACTCATCACATGTTGAAAAGCAGGAGAAGATATCCTCACCACACCCCATCTTTAAAATAATTCAGGCTGGAAGATCATGGACTTGTTAATATTCGCGCAAGATCAGACATCTGCAAACTAACGATTTATCTTGGTCATGGACACTCTTATAGCAGGCCAACAATAATAAAAACCTGCTTCTGCACAACTCCCCATCAGGAAGTTTTGCAAAGCGGTGTTAGGATTCTGCAGCTGCACCTCCACTTTAGCACTGAGCGGGTCACAAGCATCTTTGTCTCTTGACTTGAACTGGGTTCACAGTAGCATCTATCACATACTCAGTTGTGATCCCCAAATTAGGCCCTGTGACTGAGTACGTTGCATTTTCATGATCACTGAGACCCTTGAGTGCAGGAGGGCGCTCTTGATGGGCCTTGTCCACAAGGAGAACCAATTGGCACCATAAAGCATTCACACAACAGGCATGTGAGAATTCTGAGGAAGGATATATGTGTATTCCTTAGCATAAAATACTCTGTAAAATGCAGAGTTGTGTAGACCATTTCAAGGTTGAAGCAAATATAGGAACATTCCATTTTGAGATAGGAATGCTTCCGGTAGGCTCAACGTAGGAAACAGGAACACTGGAGGCGCATCAGCACTCTTCCAGCAAGTTCAGAATTCAGCATTTTGGAGTTGTGATCCTTTGACATCAAAATGTTTTGTAGCTCTCTACCAAATTGACCTCAGCAATATGGAGTTGACAAGGCCAGTGTCTTCAGCTCTGTTTTCGCTAGTCTTGGTCATAGTCTCTCCATCCTCCCACTCCATATTCAGAAGTTATTAATTGTTGTCTGTAGGACTCTGTTAGTGTTCCCCAAGAGAAGGATTTCAAATTAAAACACCCACATAATTTGACAATCGCTTAATGATATTATAATAATGCAGGAAGACCATCTTTTTTTTTTTTTTGCTGCAAATGTGCATTAGGAGTATGATAGCATGACATGAGCGGACTCACAAAATGGATGGGCTCAGGCAGTCACAAAAGATTGACCTGTCAGTTCATTCTCTAACCCAGTGTTTCTCAACCTTGGCAAGTTTAACATGGGTGGACTTCAACTCCCAGAATTCCCCAGCCAGCCATGCTTGTCCGGCTTGAGTTTA